TCCAGAAGTGTTTTGGCGAGGATGCCAGGTTGCGTTCAGAAGGGACGGGCCAAGGAATCCAGCTGCGGATGATCTGCTAAGAAGCCCTGCGGAGGCGCCCACCTAACAGCTGCTGGAGAAAGAGACGCGTCCTGGGAGGAGGGTATGTGCCCTTAATGTGCGTAAAGCGCCTTTTGAATCAAGGAGAACCTCTGTGTACCAACAGACAGAGCCACCTTTCTCAGCATCGGTTGGTGTTTTCTTTGCTTGACTTCAGTGAGTTGTGGCTAATCTGACCAAGCCAATTGCTAATTATTCGAAAGAAGCGGGGGGGGGGGAGCGATTCACGGTGACCCCATCCTCAAACAGGCCTCTAACTTGTCCAGTTCGACTTAACTATACGGTGCTCTGAGAAATCCTAAATTTATAGCGTATTCCACACAGTACTCTGGCACCCTTGGTTGGCTCAAGGCTTGTGTAAATGCGTGAGCACAAAGGGAAGCACACCTTCCAGATAAATAACACTCGTGTCAATATTCTGTATAGGTAGAATTTGGACACGTGACAGGGATATAGGCGCCAACCGCGCGATTTTTTTTTTGAATCACGTGACTACTACCAGGATTTCTCTCCAGATGGGTTATTAAATCAGAGTTCTGTAATCGTTTTAGTTACAGCTGGAAGAAAATGTCTGCCTCTGAATTGTATTCACGATCTCCTCATGACAATATCAAGCGCCTTTTATCAAATGTATGTATTTATGTATATAAGCCTAACACTGCTTTTATCTGAAGTTCCCCTCCTTGGAAGTCGGTTCGTTCAAAAGACTTCAACCCCGGAAGCCGGTTTCTGACGCTGTCGAAGGAGAAATTATTGCTTTTTGCTTGCAAGTAGACTTATTTCTTGCCTAAACCATCGTGTCTCCCGAGATACCAGCCGCCTTGAAGGCAAGATTCTTCGCTTGGCTTCATACGGGCGCACATACACATACATGCATATCCGAGAGCATACATGGACCAATGCAGAGGTTAATAATAGTAGCAACTGTTAAGGGTAGCTGCTCACATCTTCCATAATCTGCGGTGATCCAGAAGTAAGGATATTCGCCTCTGTCCTGTAGCAGAAATTCTCTCTGGTTTATATATTTTAGGAAGGCTGAAAAAAAACAAACCAAGAGAAAGGAAGGGTTAGAGCAGCTTTTGGCCAGGAATTCAGTGCTGGTTCTAAAAAGCCAGCCTACTACGTAGAAGGACCATACCTTCTATTTCATACACTTAATCTCGGTGTTTTTTTTTTTTCATTTTGAGGCCTACTTTATAAAAGGAGCACTTCGGTCAGCCTTGTTATATACGTGTCCTTTTGAGAAACAATAGCCAGATGATGCTTAAAAATCCCCCAAATCATTTGGTCCCCCCATCTATTTTTTAAATTGAAAAGCAGAATGTAAAAAAAAAAAAAGGGGGGAAATCGGATTGAACTCTCTTTCATTATTTGAGGAGTAGGAGTTCGGTAGCCAGATTCAAGAGACAGCTCTACAAGCCCGTTTCTGTATCCTGGGCATTTAGATCGTCCTCTCCGCCTCCGCGCCCCAGTTCAGCGGCTACAGCAGCTTGAAAATGCGCGGGAGGCCGGCCTTCTGGCCAGGACAAAAATCAAGGAGGTCGGATGGATCAGCCGAAAATAACGACGGGCTTGTGTGGGGTGGGGGGCTTGCAAAAGGACTTTCCAGCCCCGGGATAAAGTAAACCACTTCAAGTCCCCAAAGCCAACTCTTCCCGTAGAACTCTCTGCATCTTCCACGGCCCGGAATCTGGAGCCCATCAGAAGGTTCACAGGCGTCGTTTTTTCTTGAGAACCGAAGAAACGCAAACCCAGAACGGATCGAGAGTGAAGCTCTTCATCTCCCGGTTAAAAGAAAAAAGGCGCAGCAGCAGCAACACGCTCTCATGTGCGAGCAGGCCTCTCCGTTCACACGTGCGCTTGCCGGGCTTAGAATATGACGAGGTTCACTCCGAACGCAGCCCCGTCGTCTTCACTCAAAGCGCATGGGATCCCAAGCACAGGGTCCTATATTATTTTATTTTCACCGATAGCACACCAGTCACGACGCATTCTTCTGCAGGCAGGCAGCCCAGCGTCGCGGGTCGGTTTCTAAGGCCAGATTCACCTATGCATCGCACGTTAGCGTTAATCACGGTTGTTCTACCCTTGTTGACTTACTATTGAACGCATCAAAAGGTTAATGAACAGCTTTGTGTTGGGCGCGTGGGATTAAAAAAAAAAAAAGGACCAGGCTTCTTATAGATTCATCCAGGAGAGCCCATTGGCGTGGAAAGTACGTGGCTCCGAGGAACTAGATGCAATTTCCCCGATGTGATTGGGGCAAGCACCAGGGGTGTTCCTATCGCTGCCGCCCAACCCTTCTCCGCTTCCCAGCAGATGGGGCGTGCGTCTTTATACACACACCACTCTTCCTACGTACTATTTGTGTGCCCGTTCCCAGCGTTGCGCCGAGAAGCCACAATCTTTGGGGATCGGGGTCTGTTACACCCAGTGACACTTCCTTCCAAGTGAACACGCCCGGCATCCCGCTTCGGGGTTGCAATCCTCAGCACGGCCGCTTGGGAATAACCGGCCCCCTCTCCCATTTTCTCCCCCCCTATATAGCATAAAGCAGGGCTGTCATTGTCTTTATCGCTCGGTGCACAACCCATGCCGGTTGCGTTTCCCTCCCCCCCCCCACCGCCACGAACCGATAGGATTCGGTGCGCGCGCGCGCAACACCCACACATCCCCCCACCCAGGGAGACGAGCCGCGATCCCTCCAGTTTGTCAATGAATCCTCCCCGCTCGCGGGCTCCGCCTCAAGCCGTCCCTGATTGCTCCGCCGCTGGCTAATCAGGGGCCGCCTCCGCCGCTCGCCCTCTCCCCGGGGTCCCCCAACCCCGCAGCCAATGCGCGCGGGGTCGTAACTTTACTTTTCTGATTGGAGGCCGAGGCGCTGAGTGACGGGCCAGCCCGGAGGCCGCGGCCGGCCGCGGCTCTCCTCCCGCCCTGCTTCCTGCTCCCCTGCCGCCAAAGAACCCCCCGCAGCCGCTGTCCACATGCCGCCGGTCCTGAAAGCGGCTCCCGGGAAGCGCTTTCGTCCTCTCTGAAAGAGGCGGGCCGAACCAAGCGCGGACGGCGACAGCGGCCGAGGCGCGAGGGGACCAAAGCCGCCCGCCCGCCCGCGCCGCGCGGGCGGGACTGCAGGGATTCGGGAGGCGCCCTGGGGTATTGAGTGCCCAGGTGTGTGTGTGCGTGTGTGTGTGTGTGCGCGCGCGCGGATGCGTGGGGTGGGGGCTGCGCGCGCGCCCGCCCCCGTGTGCCCGCCCGCTCAGGGGGAGGAGGTCATTTGGCGCCACCCTCGCGCGTTAGCCGGCCAGGTGGAGACATATGAGCGAGCGCGCGCGCGCGCACCCACCCACCCACCCACTCACCCACCCACACATGTAGACAAGTCGGAGCCGGCCGGTCTACCTGCTCGCCTGCTTCTCTTTCCGCGCCGGGTGAGGGGAAGCACCCTCAGCCAGCCGAGGCCGGGGCGCGCGCTTAGGCGCGCGTAGACGCGCGCGCTGCCGGCCAGCGGGGAGCCCCGCACTGGCTGCCGGAGAGGCAAACTTTAGGCGCGAGCGGAAAGGCGCGTGAGGTAGAAAGCGTGGCGCGCGCCACAAGCAAAACACGCCTCTCGCCCTCCTTCGCGCTCTCTCTCTCGCGCGGCGGGGATGCCGCTGGCACGCTTGTGCTGCTGCTGCTGCTGCTGTTGCCGCCGTCGCCGCCGCCGCCGGTTTCTCCTCGTCTCCTTTGGCGTCTCTCCAAGCGCAACTTCCCGCCAACTTCTTCTGCCGCGGCGCTCCTAGCCCCTGCCCTCCAACAGGCAGAGGTGGCGGGGCCAAACGGACTTTGCCTCCCTTTTTTTTTTTTTTTGTCCCCTTCCAGACTTGGGACCCCCGCCGGGTTGGGAGGCGGTTATCCACAGCCCGCCTCCACTCCGGGAAAGAAGCCGCCTCTCCTCCTCGGCTCTCTTCCTGAGGCTCGCCTGAGCTGATCGCCTCCGGCCGGGACTGCAAGCCGCGGGCAGGGGAAAGAAGAGAAGGCGAAGGAGGAAAGAGGGGTGGGGGGGGGAGAGGAGGAGAGCCGTACATGCCCGGCCCTCCACCGCCACTCCTCAAACAAAGACTGACCCAGGGCACTTTCCTCGTCCCCTAAGCCAGCCTTGCCTTCGCCGCCGGAGACGCCGCTCCGGTTCTCTTCCGAAAGGAAGGGAAAGAAAGATGGATGGGTGAACGGATGCTGAAAAGGGACCTCCCCCCCCCTCTCCGCACACCCCACCCGGGATAAAGCTTGGGAATAGCTGCTTTGCAGGTGCTCCGTCCCTGCCGGTCTCGCTTGCTTCGCCGTGGGAGATCTCCGTTGGCTGGGCTCCTCCCGGGGAGGGTCTTCCCTCCGACCGCAAGACCGGATCCATGGCTCTCGCCTTCTGGAGGCGGGGGGAATAAAGGCGCCGCTGCTGCTGCTGCCCCCCCCCGAGCAGAGAAACTAACCGGAGACGACCTTTTGCGGTGGGGGACGGTCGAGCTCGGAAGGGGTAAAAGGGGGGGACGACGACGACGACGATTCAAGCAAGCCAGCCTTGCCGGTGGCGCCCGGACAACCCGAGTCCCCCCCCCCCACACAAGCCCCTTCCGTACGAAAGGAATAACTTCCCCGAGGATTTTTGTGGTTCTTTGCTCTGGGCTTGGAGAGAGATCTTTTTCTCTGAAGTCCCGCCGTGTCTTTCGGGCTTTTCTTTTTTCTTCCCCCCCCCCCATTTTCCTTTAAAAAAAAAAAAATTATTGCAAGCAACACTTGTAAATAAAGCGCCCCGTCCCCCCGGGCAAGACAAGCGGCCCTAAGGAGTGTAAACTTTAACCTGCTCTGAAAGCGAAGACAACAATCCCACCGGCTCAGCTTGCCTGGAGCAGCCTGGCTCGCCAGCCCAGATGGAAATACACTGTAAGCACGACCCGTTTGCAGCGATGCATAGTAAGTAGAGGCGGCTGGTTCCGGGTTGTTGTTTTGTGTGTGTGTGTGTGTGTGTTTTTTCCCCTCTGCCTTTCGGCACCAAGCTGGCCGCCTTGCCTTCGCCGCGCTCTCCACAAACCCGGAATGTTTGTTTATTGAAATGGGAGGGAGAAAGAGAAAGAGAAAAAGGGGGGGGGGGGGAAGAGAGGAAGGAAGGGAGGGAGGGAGGGAAGAGGGAAGGCTGCTGGAGCTGAGACACCTTTGGGCATCGCTGGAGAAGGAGGCACAGCGGCGTTGGACCGGCTCGCATCCTCCTTCTCCAACTGCGGCTTATTCCCCAGGCGATTTCCAAGGAGTTTTTTTTAAAAAAAAACCCCAACCCGAACTAAACCGCACCAAAACTAAAACGACACCCTCTTCTCGCGTAAACCGCGGCCCACCGCTGCCCTTTTCAGTAAGGCGGCATTATTGAGGACACGATCCGGTCAAAGGGGGGAAGGCTGCAAAAAAGCTCCGTTGATTTCCACGGGAGGGTTTAAACGAAACGCGCGCTGTAACTCCTCCTCCACCACCACCCGTCTGGGGGGACTTCGACCAGAGTGGGTTTACATTGCTTTAATATTTTTTATTTTTTATTTTTATTTTTTTTAAAAAAAGAACTCATTCGCGGGTTCTAGGACCTGGCGGCCTTAAAAAAAAAATATCTCCAGCTCAGATTAATTATTATTAGAGCAAGAAAAGAGATCCGGGCCAAGTTAAAGATACCTGCCGGCAAGTAAGTCGCACTGATTTCAAATCCACCTTACATTTATACAGCTACCTTGGTACTTAGTACTATTTGAACAAATATGCAGGAGCCTTCCCTATACCCTGTGTTTCCTTTCCCTTCCTTTCCCCCCCTCATTCAACATTTTTTTTTTTTTTAATTTTTCTTCCGTACATATCGATTCTTTGTGTCTGCCCATCGCTGCTCTTTCTCCGGCTCTCGCCCTCTTAACAAAGTTCAAGTCGCTCAGCTGGAATACCTATATTTTTCCTAATTAGTCCGCCTGTATGGATATAATGGGGAAAAAAGATATTTGAAATTAATGCTAGTAGATAGGATTACTACGGTCCAGCTGAGTTGAATGCCCTTCTAGGAAATCTCTGAAATATTCCTGAATATAGCAAGCACTTAAACCAAAAAGTGTGTAAATTTGTTGATGTTTCCTGAGCGTGGGCTCTAAAGCGACGGGAGCTGCTGAAGCTGCTGCTTCTCCTTCTCACGGCAACAACAAATGGCGTGTTTTAAACATAGCCTTATATGTTTGGACTCGGCTGTTTTAAGTTAGCGGCCATGGATAATATATTTGCTCGGGATTTGCTGTGCCTGAGAGGGTTGGAAGGAGATTTTTCATTAACGCAGGGTTATGAGAAACGACGCCGTCTCTCACGGTGAGTTAAACGCTGGATTAGATCCAGAGATTTCAAGGAAACCCTAGGAGAGAATCAGACACATTTCTCTTAGGTATAGCAGGCTTTTTTTGAGGAAGACAACTGTTCTTTTGTGTTGTCTATTTGTCTACCTAATCGTTTGCTCCACGAAGCCATTCCGTGCTTCCTCGTTGGATACCCAGAGTAAGCACAAGGCAGAGAACTCAAACGTGAAACTGTTGGCGACTGTGTGCCATAATTCACCTTCAGAGGAAAGATAACTTACTTGGGTGGCAGTATCTGAATTTGGAAATGTGTAGGAGATGCTTGTCCGAAACCAAACAGAACCAAAAAGGATTTGGGGATTTTATGAGAAGCATCTTAACTGTAGGGAAATAACATTTTCATATTTAAAATATGGGGGCAGAAATGTTCCCACTGCCTGCCATTCCCTCCCCTCTGGAAATTCCTTTGTGTTAACTTGGAGAGGGGGTGAGTGCAGAAGCTGCGGGGGGGGGAGAGAAAGGATCCTCCATTAACCTAAACAACGATAAATCGATTATCTTCTGCAGGAATGTAAGGGCAACAAAAACAAACCGGAAAAAGCGTGTGTGTCAACTGAGGTGGGGGAGGGATGGGGAAAGAGCATCCAATCCAAACTGAGTTTTATACTTCTCTCCCCCACCTCCCAACCCCAATGCATTCGTGGTAGTTATTTAAATATCTCCTTTCTCTCCCCGCGTGTGTAGGGGAGAAATAGCAAGTTGTTGTTTTTCCAAAAGTGGCAGGTAGGGGATGAAAACGCGGCGTGTAGTACATTTACTGTACAGCATTGCCACGTTGAGTTCCTTGTCAGAAAACGCTTAAAAATAATAGGAGGCGCAGAAACGTCCCGGCAACACCCTAGAGACATACGAACTCCTTCTCTCAAAGAAACAATTTACTGCAGAAAAAGCTGGCTTTAAAACCAACGGTTAGTCTTCTGGATAAAGGTTCGCCCTCTCTTCCGTCTGTCTCCTACTAACAACTCCCTCGAAGTGAAGAGAGCGTTTGATCTGAACCCTTTAAACGAGGGGCAACTGCATGTAAAGAAAACACGCACACGTCCGCTTTAAAAGTCACGCGCAAAAAGCCCCCGGCAATCTTCGGGGGAAAAAAAAAATCTCGCTCCCGGTCAGAGTTACGGCAGAGGCAGAGTTAAGATTTTGCGGGAAAAACAAATCTAAGGGTTGTTTTCTTCTTCTTCTTCTTCTTCTTCTTCTTCTTCTTCTTCTTCTTCTTCTTCTTCTTCTTCTTCTTCTTCTTCTTCTTCTTCTTCTTCTTCTTCTTCTTCTTCTTCTTCTTCTTCTTCTTCTTCTTCTTCTTCTTCTTCTTCTTCTTCTTCTTCTTCTTCTTCTTCTTCTTCTTCTTCTTCTTCTTCTTCTTCTCCTTCTCCTTCTCCTTCTCCTCCTCCTCCTCCTCCTCCTCCTCCTCCTCCTCCTCCTCCTCCTTCTTCTTCTTCTTCTTCTTCTGGTCTGGAGAAAGGCTCCATTTTAGCAGCATCTTGTCCATAGAAGAAGAATCTTAGGCGAGATTCCTGGGACGTCCGTCCGCCTGTCCGTTTCCCCCTCTATGGATCTTTTTGGCATAATGCCTCGCCTCGACCTGCTCTATGAAGAAAGCCAGTAAATAGCCGTTCTGCACACCGCAGTTACTAGAAGCTGGAAAACTAACGTGTTTTTTTCAGTTAGCAGGGCAGAGATTAGGCGGTTGTCAGCAATGAGGAAAAGAGATCTTAAACCTCTTTTAATAATCTTTCTAAGATCCTCCTCCTTCATCTGTTAGGGCTAGTTCTTTCATCAACTTTTATTCTTTGAGCACACTGTTTTCTTATGTGTTGGCGATTTGTTTGTGAGGATGAGATAGAGACAAAATAAGCATTTTGGTTGCGGTTGACTTACCCTGTGATGGTTTGCTCAAAATACCAAGAGTTGTTGAGTTTCCAAATCAGACTCTCAGTTACATCCACCTTTGGCTTTCACCACCAACAAAACGTAAATTCTGCTCGCCTATCATATATTTGTTTTTTTGGGGAAAACTGAAATGCTTGGAAAAATTGAAATAATTTGGTATTTTACTGTAGAGAGATCAAGCTGTTTGTTTGCTATTATCACGTGCTGAGTCAGCTGAACTTTATAACAGCAGGAAAATCTTGAGGATGAACTCTGCAAGTGATCAAAATGTCTAAAATTTCCTGTCTAAACTGGACTAGACAGGCAGACAAATGTTAAGAATTATGGAAGGTATGGAAGTGTGTCAGAACAATACATATACTCATTTTTCACTCATTCACACACACACACACACATACCGGTAGACACTCATTCCAGTATTCACCCTTCAAGAGGGACATCAGCGTTTATATGTATATACTCAAACAATTTAAGGCTCAAAGAACAACTGGCCTCTTTAATGCCTTTGCAGTGATCTTTTCTTGGGGTCTTGGAGATTATTTAACTAACAAGATAATGATCCAAAAAAGCACAAGTTACAAATATTAATCTCAGAGACGACTGTATGTTCATATCAATATCTTCAGCAATACATACTGATCGAGCATATATAATGTGAGCATTAGGTAATTTGACACACTTTTAAGCACTTTAAAAATCAACACAAATCCTTGTCTACCACCAATATGTTGTGTGACAGCTAACCTAATACCCTGAACAAAAATTACACACACACACACACACACACACACACACACACACACACACAGGCACACTGCAGCACTAGCACATGCCCCACAGATTCTTCTGTGGAAGTTTTTGGAGTAGCTAATTCGTTCCTGCAAGTGTTCAAGTCGATTTTCTTTCTGGGACAAATCAATTGTTCATAGAAGTGAAACTATTTTCATTGTATGCAACTGAGTTGGATTGGATTGTCTTGCATGTTGAAATGTAAGCTACATTCCCCCACCTCATGTCTTCTAGCCTTCTTTCTCATGTGCTGGGCTACTTCCTTAAAAGCAAGGAAGGTTTGACCTATCAAATCTCCCCCCCCCCTCTTTCCACTCCTTGTGTTACTTTTAAATACCGAAGACATCTACCTGCTAAGAGAGAATTTCCGTGTGATAATAGGAAAAGATTATAGGGAAAGCTCCCACTGATGATGGGAGTTTCTTTTTATTGGAACTAGTAATTCCCTTGCCATCCCAAATACTTCTTCAGCAAAAAGATGAGCGGGTGTAAATCTAGAGCTCAGAGTCACACAAATTCTGGAAGAGCATATCTACCTGTGCTTGCTTGCAGATATTTTTACCACTACTTGCATTTTTATCCTTTAATGTCAGAGAGTAACTGCAGATTCAGCTCATGGGAAAAAATAGAGGAAGCTCTGACAATAGTGTTTTTGTATTGTTTTAGTTCCTTGGCATTCTTTTCTGCTCTCTTCTTTTAGAGAGACTCCTTCCTTCCTTCCTTCCTTCCTTCCTTCCTTCCTTCCTTCCTTCCTTCCTTCCTTCCTTCCTTCCTTCCTTCCTTCCTTCCTTCCTTTCTCCCTCCCTCCCTCCCTCCCTCCCTCCCTCCCTCAATTATTGGAACCAGACTGAGTTTGGGAAGGTAGAGTAACAATCCTTTTGATATACACACACCACACACATCAAGTACCCTGGATTGTATGGTTATGTATGAATGTCAGCTTTTTTAGACTTGGCCATTGATTTGACTATCATTAGCCTAGGGTTGTGCTCCTTAGTTTATTTTCTTATTTTTCCATAAAGGTAAAGTTAAGATATGCAATTCTGGAAATTCAACTTTTGAACTTGCTTCTGCAAATCTCAGCATAGATAGAGCCTTGCGGATTTATTCAGCTAGGCTACAATTCCATACAATATATAAAACTGCTGAAACCCCACAAATACTGGCTGAGTTTTAAGCAGTTCAGCAGCAGTTTACTATCTTTTATTAACAGATCTGACTGAGCTGTTTAGAGGAACTGCAATTATTGTAGAATTATTAAAGCATTCCCTAGCCTTAATGAAAGTTCTACCTCAAGATATAATGGATTTTCTCTCTGTTTTTATGCTTCTCTCTTTCTCTCCCCCTTCCTCCACTTCCTATCCTGTTTCCCTTATATTTACATATATTTTGATACATTGCAGCAATAATGCAATATATTACTGGCTGCAAGTCTGTTAGCTTTGGAAAGCTACAGGAAAGCTTTCCTATCTTGCCTTATTTAACTAGTCCAAGAGACGCAGTTTCAGTAACTCTAGATTGATTCCCTTGACAATGAACTGTTTCACCTACGAAACTGGAACTTATGCACACTTCCAGTTCAGAGTAATATACAGTCCATATTAACTGATAAATTAATTTCTTTCCAAATTGCTGGAGTTCTAATTAAGTTTGTAAATCGATAAATGTTATATTTCAGTGCATTTCTATGAGCTGAAATTTGCTATCCCTTTGCAAAGACATAGCAATTTTGAGGGATTTTTAAACTGTGCAGCTAAGAGAGTGAACAATAATTCTCTTAATATTAGAGTCACAGTTAATGATAGTAAAAACAGTACCTGAACATTCTGTTATTTTAACAAACTGTCAAAGTATACTTTTAATTTGGTTTACCCCTTCTTTCCTTCCTTAGACAATGTTCTAAAGATCAAATAAAATATTAATAATTCAAGCAAAACAATAAACACAAAACTTGCTAAACTTCAGTTCCAGGGCAAAACACCATTTTTCAGTTAAGCTTACTTATTCAAATTAATCTTTAACAAGTAATAATGGACTTTCACTATATATCAGTTTTAGAAGATACATACAGACCCTGTCAGGTTTATCAATAGTAACATTGTTGAGTTTAATAAACATGGATGATATAGTTAACAAGATTTTTATTTAATGCAGAGTGAGTAGATTGTGTTCGGTTCAAGCCTTCTGTAAATAGAGAAATTACTTTATTCAGTATTGCCAATAATGCTGGTTCCTGCAATTATTTGTGTTCAACATTGCTACTTCTTTATTATAGTTTGTCTGATGAACAATTTCAGAGTTAATTATATTTTCTCACTATTCCATGGCACTGCATTTCATGCTTATTGGTTTTATCCAGTTAGCTACTATTTATCTAGTTGGAAACCATTTTACACCAGATGTTTCAACTTATTAAAAAATAGTGAAAATGTACATATAGGAAAAAAATAATAATCCTGTCTTGCTGAGCCATGCAATATAGTGCCTTAATATTTTCATAGGCATTGTAAAATATGTAAATCTGAAATTATTCCAACCACACAGTCATTCATATAGGGCATTAATAACTGAGCTACGATATTGAAAGAAAAACAGAATACTTTTGGAAGCCCCATCTAAATTTGGCCCTATTTCCTCCAGAGATGAGCATAGTTTGGCTTTATTTACTATCAAAGTTAGACTGACACACTTACTGTAAACATATTTACATGCAAGTAAATCTGATTTAATTTAATGGCATTAAAACAAGCATGCTAAGAATTTTAGCTTCAGATTTACACCTTAAATCTGATGGCTATCATTCATAATTTTTTGATGCCAGATGAGTTCCAGGCTGGCCTAAAAATAACTTTTGAGAGATTTCCCCCCCCCCCTCAAATTGGAGCCCTGAATCTCATGCCACATAATCCTGGGTAATTATTGAAGTAATTAGAGTTACACAAGTGTAAAATTGCTATCAGTGTCAAATTAGGTTTTAGTAAATAACATTGTTCCTCCTCCTCTGAGCAAATAAACCATAACCAGCATTTCAGAAATGCCCAAACTCTTATGAAGAAGTTATTCAGTGCTTAATGGCAGAGGGGAAGCCATAGCTGCAGGAAGCCTTTTTAAAGCATTTTCTAAACAGTCTCAAAGATATATATATATTTTCTCTGCTTGTATTGTTTATTTCACCCCGTATCTTTCAGGACATGGAGGAGTGAATCAATTAGGGGGTGTTTTTGTGAATGGTCGGCCGCTGCCTGATGTTGTTCGCCAAAGGATTGTGGAACTTGCCCATCAAGGTGTTCGACCTTGCGACATCTCCAGGCAATTGCGAGTCAGCCATGGCTGCGTCAGCAAGATTCTTGGCAGGTAAAAGCAGATCAAAGTGAATCAGACCAATTCTGAAAAAAAAAAAAAAGGAAAATAATGCGTGCTGGAGTTATTCTAAGAAACAGTTCAGCTAGCAAATTCGTGAAAAGGCGACTAAGCCAGTAATAAGAATTGTTGAAAAATGTAGCTGGAAAATGCTTTATAGTTATATTCTTGAATGTAAAACGGTTTCTGATTATGATAACATGTATCCTAAGCTTCCTACCGAACCTCTGAACTCACCTAAAAAATTGTATGAAATTTCTATTTAGTGAAAGGAAACTTGTTTTCTTTCTGCAATCCCCAATCCATGCTAATTTAGCCATAATTCTACTGGCCTCAAGTAAATGAATTGAAATCCATGAATTTCTGGCTTTAATATTTGAGTATACTTTTGACCGAAGTTTTAGACTGCAATCCAAATCATTTTCTTGGTTATGAGACGTACTGAGCAAAACAATTTTTAATTTTGAAAAGGCAAGTGCTGGTTTCGCCTACTAAATGGATAATTTCAGAATTCCTTTTTGTAATTATATATATATAATATATTTTAATTTGCAATGAAATCAAATTGGAAATAAGGACAAATTGCAAATACAAATAATGTAATAGTATTAATGATACTTCAGTTTTGTTGTTCTGATCTAAGCAATGTAACAACAGTAACATTGTTTATTTTAAAAAATGAAGAGAACAACTTCCAATAAAACAAATGTAGATTGAGAAATGGTATGTCTGAGACAGCATCATGATTTTGAACATCAATATAATGCTTCAGTGAGTTTTTTCTTGATTTAATAAGATTGGATAGATACATTAAATTGGTATAAGGGGAAAAATAAATTAGAACTAATTAGTTAAATGTTCTCACGAAAGGTAGTCTGTAGATGTACCACATTGATTTCCATTACATTAGTGATATTTTTGCCTAATACAAATCTTTCATCCTAAAATTTGTCAGTGTTTGAGGTATTATGGATACATTTTTTCCTGTCGTCTGCATAGATAGGTTTTTACATTTGCAAAAGTTAGAAAACATCAATATTTGGTCATCTATGTAACAATCATGCATGAACCTACTTGCAACTATGACAAAAATAAACATAATGGATTTGATTATTTTTTTAATACATATGTACAAGACAAAACTGTTAATTTTTTATCTACTTTTCCCACATGGCATTTTTTTTGAATCACTTCTATTACTTCCTCTTTACTAGCTACCCATAGCACACAGGTGTGAGGATCTGTACCTAGTACTGTAAACCAAAAGTACAATTTCTAATGAATTTGAGCAGAACCTTTATTTTAAATACTTTGCTAAATTATAATCCATTAAACACTTATTCTTTAATCTAATTATGTAAGTTTCTTAATTATGAGAGTAAAGTTTTCCTACTGATATTAAAACATGACGTTTAACATATAAAATATACCGGTAGCTATGAATCTGATTTATCTCTGTACTCTGTGTTGGCTGCCAGTCAACAGTAGACATATAGGAGGTCAATAAATATAAAAGAATTTGAATCTTTTTTCTTTGCAGTTATTTGATATAAATATAATATAAGTTTCAGAGAATGAAACACAATTGGTTGTAGGTTTATATATGGAGAAATACGACTTCATTCGTATGTGTGCATTCTAAGATTAAATTCTAAAAGATAATTTATTCTGGAAATATTCTGCTGATTTTAGCAGGACTGCTTTTCAATAAATAGCCTTAAGACTGAGCGTTCAAAGTTGCAATGCAATTTATATTTCTTTAAAGAGGCAAGCTGGTAAATACAAGGAAAATGAACGTCAGCAGTATTGTACAATTACACATTTTCATATATTTTATTTTTTATACTAGACCAGAACATTAATGTTTCTGGAATGTTAAGTCCTATTTCTTAATGGCAGCAGTTGGTTTTGTGCTATCCTGCTTTATTATCCTTTCTTCAATTCTTTCGGAAGACTAGATAACCATTTTTATTGGTATCAATGACTGAAACAAATAAACAGGTCAGAAAGAACACGTAATAGTTTCAATGTTTCAGAATAGATTTGTCTTTAGAGGTATATTCATTATTCTGGAATTAAGAATCAAGTTCTGGAGCTTTGTCACTTAAGTTGTCAAATTGAAATTTCATAGCTCATTATTTTCATAAGTAATAATTACAGTTCATAAAATGTCAGTATAATTGGAAGACACTCTTTCCTTCTCTATGTGTGCATCTAAAAAAATAAGAGAAGCCAGACATATATGAAGTTGGATTCCATCTTGGGAACTAATATTTCTTAATTTACAACTTTGAAATTTAACCATGGTGCAAAAGAAATAGTTGGAAATATAAACTATATAACATTAATAATTGGATAAGAGTTGTGAATCTGTGGTCAGTAGTGCTTGAAAATATTATCATAGAAGGTACGTGTAAATGGACAGCATGATGAATTCCAAAAGTAACCACAATCTGAATACAAGCCTGTTTTGTCATTTTTATGGTCAAGCCAGGATTGGAAAGCTATAGTTTTCTTCAACTGTATATTCATTTGTCAAAGAGTTCAGTTTGTATTCTTGTCATGCACAAAGTAAATATTAATCATTACTTGCTCCAAGGCAAGACTGGTATCATGACATTAGGATAAAAAAAAAATCAAACCCAAACGATCAGATCTCATTTACTTAAAATTTTAAAAATAATGCAATGCATTTTTAATGGCTGATCTCAAATCAGGTCCAAACTGTCTTCCTTTCAGTAGTATAACAGCACTGGCTAATGGTTTAAATAGGCCTGCCTGTCATTGAGGTCCTTAAAGCAGCCAATTTAAGGACCAAAAGTCAAGTATCACAAAGAGGACCAATTGTTATTAATCTGCTATTATTGTATTTTTACTGCTGCCGTTGGGGAGAGATGTTTATGGATTTTCTGCCTCATGCTAATGGTGCAATTTGACTGACTTTGGGTATCATATACACCTTGTTTTCCTGCATGGGTGATGCTACTTGCTGTATACCCAGGCAACAAAATGTCAGACCAGTTAAGACACATGGTTTAACTCACTGCTGGTTTAACTCTGGTTTAACTCACTGCTGCCACACTTTCTTTTGGCAACCAATTTTTCTCACTTTTAGCACCCCAAGAGTGAGAATATAGTTTAATAATTCTGAGGGCGCCTTAAAAGATAATGTCTAATGTCATTCTAAAATGGCATCTAGCTCTTAAATATTGTCAACTGTTTCCAGAATTCTCATAGTGCCAAATATGACCAAAACTGAGATGCAACAGCAAGTTATTAATCAGCAAAACCTACAGCAGGAAATGAAACATTTTATATTTTAAAAGTTCCATTTCATAAATCTGGAGTGATATGAAAAATGCCTGCATTACATCTGATTGACTTCTATTGGGTTTGAAGAGAATACATTGGTTTAAAATGAACTTTTTTTTAGTTCAACAAGATTAAAGTCAAAGCAGGAAAATTATTCTCTAAAGGCATCTAAAAGTTCTTATTTCTTATTCAAGGGCTGCCTTGAGTATCTTGGCAATTGACAAGCCCTAAAAATTGATTAATTGAATTAATAAATTAATAATTCTTATTAGGTATAAACACTGAAACTATAACTGAACAGCAGGCCACTTCTTTAAAAAGCTAATGGAAATAGCAGGGATATTGAATGGGAACCTTTTCCTTAGGATTCTGCACAAACCTTACATTTTTTGGATAATTGTTCCCCCAAAAAGATGAGGTTCAGATATGTTGGATTTCAATTCCACAATTCCCAGTGAATAGGCCAAACTGAATGGGGATCAAATGCAACATATTTGGAGGGGACCATTCAGGAAAGACTGTAGTCAACTTTCATTTCAGTATCCTGCTTTTTTGTTTAACAACTTATTAGGCCTCAGATAGATAGTACAAGAAAAAAAAGATGAATCTCTAACAATAGAGGTGAAAATTCATTCCACAAAGTGTATACTGAAGTTCAGTCACTATTGTATATACATAATCCTCCACTTACAAGTTTGTTTAATGGCTGTTCGAATTTACAGTGGCACAGAAAAAAGTGATTTATGACCATTGCAGTATCCCATAGTCATTAGGTTCATGCATTTTTTTCCATGATGCTATTTTAACACTTTATGGCTGTATCATGTCTTTGACAATTTCCTATAAACATGGCATTGTCGAAATATTGGTTTGATTTAGTTTTGTTACAGATTAATAATACAATTTTTGAGATAATTTTAAATTCAAGCGTGACCTTTTAACTCATGCAGTTTTAATTGCTTGCAAAAATAATGCATACAACATTATTATAGTTATTACCTTTAAATAACATATAATGTCAAATCTAAGAAAAGGAAAGAATATATTAGTATCAGTGATTGTAATACAGTAAAGATGGGTTAATACTGTGTATTCCTACTGAAAATGCTAGAATCTAATTTGTGCCGTTCTTAACTTCTTATAATTTATTGGACGGGGGAGGAGAGCTTATAATTAGAATGCTTTCTAAACCTAACTTTTTCTTTCTTCTGCATTTCACCCCAGGTATTATGAGACTGGAAGCATTAAGCCTGGAGTTATTGGAGGATCAAAGCCAAAGGTTGCCACGCCCAAAGTAGTAGAAAAAATTGCAGAATATAAACGCCAAAACCCTACCATGTTTGCTTGGGAGATCAGGGACAGACTTTTAGCAGAAAGAGTGTGTGATAATGACACAGTACCCAGCGTTAGTTCAATTAACAGGTAAGACTCTTAGGCTGCACAGTAGAGATGCTTTTTGGCAGTGTTCATTATTATCTGAAAATGACACAGGATTATTTTGGTTATTTGCATGGCTGTTTTTTCCTAGATGCAAAAATCCGTATGTACCAATCCATTTAGTTTTCATCTAAGTTTGCTTCACTGAGCCAAACAGAAATAATCTCTAATATGGGATGGTAGCAGTAGTATAAATAATACATACTCATACACACAGAGATAAGATTAACAGAAGTATTTACAACATTTGTCCAGATTTGCTATTTTTTTTTGGGTGCTTCTATAGACTGACACTTTGACATTTAAATTCTCAGGAGAAGATGACAGCATTAATATGTCATATAATGAAGTTAGTCCAAAATTAATACAATTAAGAAATGAGCAAGAAATAAACTAGGGGAAAGATCAGATAGTCTACATTTTCCTGCATCTTTATTACCACTGTATTGAAAGGAAATCAATAATTTATCTGATAATAGAAACAAAAGTGGACAATCTAGGCTGGAACTGGTAAATTCAGTTTCTTGACTGGTATAATGAATCTATGAAGTTTATTATTATTTAGCATATGATGAGAACATGACAGAATCTATCAGATTTTAGGTTAATTTTGGAAAATAGTTTGCCATTCTAATATACAGCATGCTGTTAGAATAGAACTGTGTATTATGGAGGTTTGGTGATTTGAACTTGTCTGATGCCAAAACCAGTTATACTTACAAATATGTGTACTTCTTGCTTTTTCAAGGAAAGTTGGTCATTTATTTTATTATTTATTTATTAAACAAATTTATATAGCCACCCAATTCACACATAAGTGACTCTGAGTGACTTACAACATTTAAAATACCCATCCCATCATCCTAATGCCTGCAATAGTAATTCATCACATCACAGATACATGTTCCATAAAAGCTGAAATATCCTTTGGATGTGATCCACAATCTATTTATTCCCTGTTAGCTCTATTTAAATCCACATTTTGATCAAAAGAAGTTTGCTGTGAATTTGTTATCTGGTGCGTTTATTAATTACTGAAGCATTAAGAAAACACTATTAAAAAGTGTTCTATATTAAGATATGCAGTATAACTCAAGCTGGAATTCCCAGTCTGATAGGAATTCAAGCTAATTTTGCTAGCTTCTCTTGCAATTTGATAGTACATCTCAAAATTTCCTGATGTTATAGATGTTATAGAGTAAGTCAAACTTATTTATGTATTTATTGATATGTATTCGTTCAATTTAATGGCTACCCATCTAAAAAAAGTGATTTTGGGTGTCGAACAACATTAAAAAAAAGCAAAACAAAAACAGAAACTACAAAATAAATTGGCAGCTGAGATTTTTTTCTTTAAAAAAATATCAATACAGATGTAAATACAAAAACTTCAACAAATGTATTTTACAGACTCCAACACAGGGCCTTGCAAAAGGCAAACATATACCGTAGTAAATATAATATAATAGAAATTTCTATCTTTATCCTGGTCACTTTTATTATGGCCAGAAATAAAACCTTAATATGATACCAAAGAATCTTACCATGTCCATCAGGCAGACTTTTTAGGCATGCTACATATTGATTACTGTTAAGCATGACTGTTACTGTTGTTATATACGCACGCACGCACGCACGCACGCACACACACACACAAACATATATAAAACAACAGTATATAACAACAGTAACATTCAAGGACTTTGTCATGATTTAGCTTTGATTCCAGAAAGGTGCCTTGGAATGTTCTAGAAATGAATATATCGTAGCTGTTTTCAACTATTTAAAACAGCTGCAGAGGCCAGCTACATGGTCCCAGGAAAAGGCACAGCTGCTCAAGTTGTACACCGGTGTGTTCACTGCCCCTTTCCAGATTTTTCTGAATTACTGCATAGCCCTAATAATTTCTATTAATCTCATGTTTATATTTTCAATATTAATTAATAATATAATTCCATTTATACAAATCAACATGAAACAAAGTTTTATGCATATGTTATATTTCTGTTTACAGATTCAAACATTTTGGGAATGCCACAAAACATTTAGCATTTTAATAGTAAAATATTCACAATCATAAGAGATTAAGAAAAATGTTCACTATACTAAAATGAAGAATGTCAATTTTTCAGTGGATTGTCAAATTGTATTTAAACAACTAAGTATTTTGCAGTTGAATTACATGGCTTCATGTATATTTATAATATGAAGAACATTTGCTTAAATTTGGATTAAAATTAAGAAGGCTACCTGCAACTTAACATATTTCATTAATTTTAATGAAAAATATGTGCAACCAGCTTTTTTGTGAGGGGAATGATTATTTGAAGTGCTATTAAAACATTAAAGTTGATTTCTTTTCTAAATGAAGTGAAAGCACAATAATTAATCATAGTGGCTAAAATAGAAATTCTAACTATCTGCACTTTTGATGAATTTTGAACCAGTTATTAGATTTACTTTCTTTTCTGCTACAAATATTATAGGATTATTATGGGCCAAAGAAATGGTTCTGCAGTGACCAGCTACATAAATCTATAACATTGTTGCTATCCGACCTACATATTATTATTTAGGAAATTTTATATCACCTAATCAAATAATGTTGTAAGATATATTTAGGTAAGACTGAAAAGTAAATTAACAGCTTGACCTACAATCTAATTAAAAACGTTCATGAGCTAAAACTAGCTTAGTCATATTAATATCAATATGATGTAATTGGAAGAAGTTCAAATATTCTTGGCCTTTGATTAAATCACCTCAGCTCGTGTTGTCTTAAAAAAAGTTTGTGTCTTACACTCACTACAAATCAAGGAACTAGCTCTGTATTCAGCAATATTCATGCCACTTTTATAAAGAATGTGATATATACCTACACAGAATTTTTTGCTGAATTCAATGAGGCTAATTTTAAAGAAATCATAAATGCTTTTCATTCTGTTACCTGGCCTTTATGGAAGCTGTTAACAAAAAAACATTTCAAGCAACAAATTCCTTCTCGTGTATAAAGATCTCATGCTGATATAAGAGTTATCTTAATTTTAATTTACACCAGGTACTTTAAGTAATTGATTTTATATTCTTCTCCTTCACTACTCCTTTTCCCTTTTATAGAATAAATCTATGTTGTCCCTAGGAACTGAGTTCAATTTGAAGATGTCTTTATTTTTGAATTAGAGAAATCTCTGCTGCAAATATTTTGTAATCTAAAACTAAAAGAAATCTAAAAAAAAAAGTGATAGGCATTGAACGGGGAGTATAAAATAACAAGACAATGAAGAAAAGATAAATATTTATTCTTTTTATAGACACATGGTTTTATTATGGATCGATACATACAAAGTGATGGTTATGGCTGCTGTGTGATCCAGGCAAATTATAGAACTTGATCTGCTTAGCTTGTGCAGTGGACATTGTTCCAGATATGTTCTCTGCACCCATATTATTATTATTATTATTATTATTATTATTATTATTATTATTATTATTATTATTATTATTATTATTATTATTATTATTATTATTATTAGTTGCACAGTCAGCCAGATGTTCAAACTGGTTTTTGGCACTTTTGTCCACCTTTTGAGTTTGACTTGGGATAGGCAGAGGTGGATGTTTGATGGTGTTAAAGATATTGTTGCATGATGTAAGCTGTTCAGAGTAAAAGTGCCTTTTACAACTGACTGATGGTGATTTTGTCAATACCGATGGTGTTCAAGTGGTGCTCTAGTTATTTTGAAGTTGGACCCATGCCTCCTATTACTATTGGTACCATCTCTGCTTTCTTTTGCCACAATTGTTCTATTTTTATTTGTAGGACTTGCATCTTGTTATCTTCTCCAATTCCTTCTCTTCTCCTGCTGCCTCCAGATATAGCCACTATCCACTATTCTTCTTCTTCTTCTTCTTCTTTTTTTGCCTTTCTTATTATTTTTCTTACTTATTATTTACTAAACTTAAATTTCATCTCATGTAGAGACAATTCGAGAGGCAACTCTAGACGGTTTACAATCAATACAAAACAATAAGATAAAATATTTAAAATATTAAAACAACAAATATTAACCCTAACTTTGAGTTAAAAATTAATAAAGATGGGAGGAAAGGGAGCAAGAATGACACAGGGAGGAGGTGGAATTTTATCTTAGTCCATTAACCACCTCCAGAATCATCCAACCCCATCGGTGCCCCAGACCAGTTGGCAGATTCATGTCTTTGGATCCTTTTGGAAAGCCAAAAGCTGTGAATCTTACCTCAGGGGGCATGATGTTCCAGAGGGCGGGAGCCACAGCGGAAAAACTCTTCCTGGACCCTGCCCACCAAAATTCCTTGACTGATGGAATCTGCAGCATGACCCTTCTGCTGGCCTGGGTGGGTCAGGCCAGTCCCACAGGGGGTGAGATGGCACATCAGATAACCAGGACCCATGCCATGAAACACTATAAAGGTAAGAATCAACACCTTGAATTGGACCTGGAAGCAAACTGGCAACCAGTGCAGTTCACACAAGAGCGGTGTAACATGGGCCACCCTAGGGCACGGGTCCCCAACCTATAGGCCACAGCCTGGTACTGGGCTTAAGCCTGTTGGCCACCGGGCCACAGGAATGGCTGGTGTGCCTCCCCCCACTTGCATTAGCGCTGCCGTGCAGGTGCTAGCAGCCCGTTTGTGCATGCGCACGCGGGGCATGTGTGCACACATTTCCCTGCTCATCCTTTCCCCTCCGGGCAGCCAATCCAGAAAAGTTGGGGAGCTCTGCCCTAGGGGACCCAAGAAATGCCTGTGT